TTCCTTCTTTCTTGTCTTCTTAATGACTTTTTGCTTTCTTCCTGTATGATGTTCTTGATGTCATCCCACAACTCTTCTGGTCTTCGGTCTTTAGTGTCTAATGCATTAAATGTGTTCTTCAGATGATCTCTAAGTTCAGGTGTGACATATTCAAGGTCATATTTTGGCTCTCCTGGACTTGTTTTCATTTTCTTCAGCTTCAGTCTGAATTTGCATATGAGCAATTGATAGTCTGTTTCACACTCTGTCCATGACCTTGTTTTCCACCGTCTCTTTCCACAAATGTAGTCAATTTGATTTCTGTGTATGCCATCTGGTGTGGTCCATGTCATCTCTTTTGCTATCTAAAGAAGCATAATTGTCACTTATGCTATCTAAAGAAGGTATTTGAAATGAACAAATCTTTTTTTTTTTTTTTTGCAAAATTCTATCATGTGATCCCCAGCATCATTTCTATTCTGTGTATAGTCTCTATTTATGTTGTGGTTAAAAGGTATTTGCAATTAATGTCGTTGGCCTTTAAAAATTCTGTTGTGTGAACTCTGGCTTCCAACTTTTACATATAGTGACCAGTAATTATGAATGCATCTGGATTTCATGATTGATCAATTTCAGATTGAAAACGTCAGTAAAAATCTCCAGTTTCTTAATCTTTGGCGTTGGTGGTTATGTGTAAATTTGAACTGCTCTTCCTTGTAGGTGTATGGATATTATCCTATCACAGAAAGCATTGTACTTCTGGATATATCTTGAAATGTTCTTGTTAACAATGCATGTGATGCTATTCCTCTTCAATTTGTCATCCCTGGCATAGAAGAACATATGATTTTCCAATTCAAAATGGCCGATACCAATCTAGGATATCAGTCGACAAGTACTCCATCTCATTTTTGACAACTTCCTATTTTGCTCGATTCATACTTTGTACATTCTACATTGTGATTACTAATGGTTGTTAGCAGCTGTTTCTTCTCATTTTGAGTCGTGCCCCATCAGCAAATGTAGGCCCTGAAAGCTTTATTTCTTTCATGTCATTAACTCTACTTTGAGGAGCCAGTTGTATTTGGAGTGCCTTGCAACCTGAGGGGCCTATCTTCCAGTACTACATCAGACAATGTTTTGCTGCTATTCATAAGATTTTCATTGGCCAATTGTAGATGTCATGGACACAGTGATTGCCTTCTATCAGCCACTGTGTCAATCTGTATCCTTGAAGGTCTTTCTTTTTTCACTGACTCTGCTTTACAAAGCATTAAGTCCTTCTCCAGATCCTTCCTGATAATATGTCCAAAGTCAGTGACACGAAGTCTCACCATCTTTACTTCCATCTCCTCTTTTTGTGAGATTGCCTGGCATATGTATGTGTGAGTGAGTGAGTGAACAGCGGAAGGTAAATGTGGGTCACAGCCCCTGTTCCAGTGTGTAGATGGATCCTTCTTCAGCTGAGTTAAGAAACACCTGTCTTCATCTCTAAGAAACAATTCATGTAGCAATATGAGTAATACTCAAAGGGACCAGTTAACTTCAGCTTTAAAGGCAATCAAAATGGCCTAATGACAACTGTGGCAATGACATAGGTCAAGGACTGCAAATGGACAAGTCTAGGTTGCATTTGCCCTGTTTACAAAAATACCATTCACTTTGGTTTTCTCTTTCGGAGAGAGTGAGGTTTTTCTTGTAAGAGGCTGACCGAAAACTGCAGGGCCACTTCTGGGCAGGCTTCCAAATGATTACATCTTTCTCACAGGGTTGCCCAGGGCCCAGCCCAAGCTGCCTGGGGCGGGGCCTCACAGTCGTTGGTGGCTGTTGGAGTTAGCTCAGGAGTTGTCTGCAGCCTGCCAGAATTGCTGTGCTTTGAGGCCTTCCTGGGGCACAGATAATGGTCTTGGCCTTTGCACTGAAGACACAGCAGAATTTGTAATTGGCCTGGTTGGTGTGTATGAGATAAAGGAGATGTCATGCTACTCTTCTGAGTATGGCATCCCTTACAGCTGATTACCCTGTTGTGCAGGTGAGTCTAAATGTTTGAAGACTGGCCCCGTTGGTTATGAAACATTTTAACACTGAGCACTGTGACTTTCCAAGGGCATACTTTTGCATATTTCTTAGCCCCATTGATCCTCAGTTTCCTTTCCTGTGAAACAGGGATAGCAGTACTGCCTCCATAGGGTGTTATGTGGCCTAAAAGAGGAAACATATCCAAGTACCTCATCTGGTACCTGGCATATATTTGACACTGCGGCTGCAACTACGGGCTCAAACACAGCAACGGTTGTCCAAGACCAGGTAGTGTTTCTTCTATCTGTTGTACATAGGGTTGCTATGAATTGGACCCACCTTAACGGCACCTAACAACAGAGAACTCCTTATTTTTGATGCATGAGTGGGGAAAACAAAAGATTTTAGTGATAATTTTTCTGTCTTCATTCCTAAGAGTACATTTCTCTGAAAGACTAAGCAGGTATATTGTACTTATTAGTCATGTGTGTCAACGGAAATAAAATTTTAGGTGCCGAGGGTAAGTTCTTCAGACTCTATTCCCTTTCTCTTTTCCCCTTCTAGACCCTGACTGCACCCGCCCCATTTGCAGATGAAACCAGCTGCCAGTGTCAAGCTCCCCACGAAAAACTGTCCATTGCTCAGGCCCGCTTAGGAACACCAGGTGAGGCTACATTTCTTGTTTCCCAAATGGGTACTGTCTTGACATCTTAAGTATTTAAGGGTTCATCATAATTCAAGTAGCACCCACTTTAGATTAGAGGGTTTAGTTTAGAGATTAAAGCCCAGTGCAAGAAAGGTAAACGCTAACGCTGATAAACTGGACCTCCAAAGTAATCAAGTAAAAGATGGAGCAGAATGTGGGAGTTTGGACCCCAGAGCTGACATTTACAAGGTCTTCAGCCTTGGGCAAGCCAAGGAAATGAACTGAATCTGTTTTCTTACATGCAAAACGGGGACAATGATTCCTATTTCATAAAGTTGTTTGTGTTTTTGGTTTTTTTCCCCTGAGAACCAGATTTAGTTAAAAGGATGAAGCCATTTTTTTTATTACGAAGACTTATACAAACCTAAGGCACTAGAATTACTACCATTCTCAAAAGTTTGTGTTTTTAGAATGTTTCTCCAAATGAATTAGAGAGACTGAACTCGGCTACGGAAGTTTGTTCATTCGTTTACTCCTGTACTAGAGGATGGATAGCGTAGTGTGTTATGTGTTGGGCTGCTAACCTCAAGGCCAGCAGTTCGAATCCACCAGCTGCTCCATGGGAGAAAGATGAGGCTTTCTACTTCTGTAAATATTTACAGCCTTGGAAACCTTATACAGGGCCGCTATGAATCGGAACTGACTTGGCAACACACAGTAGTAACAGCAGAGGAAGGATGTGGAAGAGATTTAAAAATAATTATAGAGTACCGTCTCTGTTTCCCAAGAGCTTTCAGTATAATTAAAGAGACAAGATAACTAGAACTGAAATAGAAACCACCAGAAGAATGTATGCATGTGTTTACAGGTTAAATCCTGCAACATAGATAAGATGATGACTAAGGTTATTGGCATTTGTTTGTCATGGAGCAGTCAGAAAAGACTTCAGGGTGGTAGGCTACTGGAGATGATACTTTTGGAAGAAGTAAGGTTTGGACCATCTGGGCAGAAAGTGGAAGGTTATTCTGGGCAGGCAGAACAGGGATAGTGAAAAGTCAGAGGTAGAGAGCTGTGCAGAAGTAAATAAGTAGCATTACAATTGCTACAATGAAATGAGAAATTAGTCAAGTTGAGCAGGTAAGCCTTGAGCCATTTAACTTACTCACCATTGCAAGAAAACTAGTAACCCCAATTTAAAGGAATCCATGGCATAAATCCGTGGCTCTGTAGGATAAGCACTGGACTGCTAACTGCAAGATCAGCAGTTCAAACCTACTAGATGCTCCTTGGAAACTCTACATATGGTTGCTGTGAGTAGGAACCAATTTGACAGCACGTACAACAGCAACAGTGGCATAAAGGACATTTTGCTCAGTTAATAATGACTAATATCTAAGTGCTGGTGTGGCACTGTAGGATAAGCACTGGACTGTAAGGTTGTTTGAATCATAAGGTCAATGGTTCAGACTCATCAGCCACTCCTCGAGAACCCTCCATATGGTCTCTATAAGTTGGAAATAACTCGAAGGCACTTAACAACAACAACAACATCTAAGTGCTTACTATGTATAAGTTCTTTATAGGTATTGTGTTAATTTGCTATCAAAACTCTATGTGTTTTGACCTAGCCTTGATGGCTTGATAATCAGAACTTGACTAGAAGAAGATTAAAAAAAAAAAAGATTTTTTATAAATTTTTTAATAAATTGCTACAATTTGATGAACTTGACCTATACGTATAGATGTAGTGGCTCAAAATACCAACTGAGAGGGAAGGAGTCTTCACATCAAGTGTCAATTCTTACACGTTGGCTACCTAAAATGAGGGGGCGATAAAGGCACGAAGTGACTGGTTTACAAGTTTTCAAGAGGGAGTTTAGTTTAAGAGTGTGTGGGCATCTCCAACAAGTAGAAACAGACCAACAGAAAGAACCTACAGTCATCAAAAGAAAAGAAATAATAAAAATAAGAACAGAAATAACTGAGATGGAAAACAGAAAAACCATAGAAAGAATCAACAGGACAAGAAGCTGGTTCTTTGAAAGGATTAATAAAATTGACAATCCATTGGCAAAACTAACAAAAGAAAAGAGGGAGAAGACAAAAATAACTCACATTAGAAACCACATGGGCGATGTCACAACGGAACCAAATGAAATCAAAAGGGTGATAACAGACCCAGATGACCTCACGGGTGAGCTCTACCTAAATTTACACAGAGTAAAGTAGAAAAACTGAACAGACCCATAACAAAAGAAGAAATTGATCAGGTCATCAAATAACTCCCAACCAAAAGAAGTCCATACCCAGATGACCTCACGGGTGAGTTCTACCAAACATTCAGGGAAGAGCTGTTACCAATTCTACTCAAATTTTTTCAGAATATAGAAGAGGATGGAAAACTTCCTAATACTTTTTATGAAGCAACCATAATCCTCATACCAAAACCTGGGAAGGACATCATTAAAAAAGAAAATTATAGACCAATATCTCTCATGAACATAGACGCAAAAATTCTCAACAAAGTCCTTGCCAACAGAATCCAGCAGTACATCAAAAAAATAATACATCATGACCAAATTTGTTTCATAAAAGGGATGCAAGGATGGTTCAACATTAGAAAAACAATCAGTGTAATCCACCATATAATTAAGAAAAAGGAAAAGAGCCACATGATCATATCCATTGATGCAGAAAAGGCATTTGACAAAATCCAACATCCATTCCTGATAAAAACCCTCAACAAAGTAGGAATTGAAGGGAAACGCCTCAACATAATCAAGAGCATATATACAAAACTAACAGCCTACATCATTCTCAATGGAGAGAAACTGAAAGCCTTCCCTCTGTGGATGGGAACCAGACAAGGATGCCCTTTTTAACCACTCATGATCAATATTGTTTTGGAAGTCTTAGCCAGAGCTATACGGCAGGATAGGGAAATTAAAGGCATCCAAATTGGCAAAGAGGAAGTAAAACTCTCTCTATTTGCAGACAATATGATCCTATACATGGAAAACCCCAAAGACTCAGTAAAAAAAAAAAGCTACTAGACCTCATTGGAAGATTCAGCAAAGTGACAGGGTATAAGACCAACATACAAAAATCTGTTGGATTTCTCTATAGTAACAACGACAGCGCTGAAAAGGACATTAGGCAAACAATACCATTTACAATAGCCGCCCAAAGGATGAAATATTTAGGAATAAATATAACCAGAGAAACAAAGAACCTATACAAAGAAAACGACAAAACACTGCAAGAAACCAAGAGACTTGCAGAAGTGGAAGAACATACCATGTTCCTGGATAGGAAGACTCAACATTGTGAAAATGTCAATACTACCCAAAGCAATTTACACATATAATGCAATCCCAATCCAGATTCCAACCACATTCTTCAAAGAGATGGAGAAGACAATTACAAACTTTATATGCAAAGGAAAGAGACCCAGGATAAGCAAAGCACTGCTTAAGAAGAAGAACAAGGTTGGAGGCCTCTCACTGCTCGATTTCAAAATTTACTATGTGGCTACAGTGGTCAAAAAGCCTGGTATCATGAAAGATACATTGATCAATGGAACAGAATATAGAATCCAGAATTTAACCCATCCACATACAGCCAACTGATTTTCGACAAAGTGCCTAGGTATATTGCATGAGGAGGAGTCTCTTTAACAGATGGTGCTGGCAGAACTGGAAAGTGATATGCAAAAGATTGAAACAAGACCTTTACCTCATGTCCTATAAAAAAACGAACTCAGCATGGATTAAAGACCTAAATGTGAATCCCAAAATTATGAAGGTCATCAATGAAAAAATAGGGATAAATGTGAGGGCTCTAATTCAGGGTATACACAGACTACCAAATATTTTGAAAATTACACACAAAAAAAGTAAACAAAATAGATGATTGGGACATACTGAAAATTAAAAACTTATGTGCATCAAAAGACTTCACCAAAAGAGTAAAATGGGAACCCACAGAATGGGAAAAAATCTTTATCGGATAAGATTTTTATCTTATCAGGACTCATCTCTAAAATATATAGGAAACTATAACACCTCTACAAGAAAAAGACAAACAACCCAATTAAAAAATGGGCACAGGACATGAACAGCCACTTCACCAAGGAGGAGATCTGGGCAGCCAACAAACATATGAAGAAATGTTCACGATCACTAGCCATCAGAGAGATGCAAATCAAAACAACAATGAGATATGATCTCATACCAGCAATAACAGCAAAGATCAAAAAAGTAGAGGACAATAAATGCTGGTGAGGATGTGGAGAGACTGGGACCCTCCTACATTGTTGGTGGGATTGCAAAATGGTCCAACCACTCTGGAAAGCAATATGTCGCTTTCTCAGAAGGTTGGAAATAGAAATACCTTATGACCCAGAAATTCCTATACTTGGTATTTACCCACAAGAAATACGAGCCATAACACGAGTAGGTATATGCACACCAATGTTCCTAGCAGCACTATTTACAACAGCAAAAACATGGAGACTGCCTAAATGTCCATCAATTGAAGAATGGATAAACAAACTGTGGTACATACAAACACTGGAATACTATGATACCTTGAAGAACAACAAGGAAGCTGCAAGCCACTGCATAATGTGGATGAACCTTGAGGACATTATGCTGAGTGAAATTAGTCAGTCACAAAAGGATAAATACTGCATAGGACCATTATTGTAAAAGACTAAGAAAAAGAACCCAACCAAAAGGGGTGAAATATATATGTATAACTGCTGATCACCGGGATGTATGGGATGAGAGGAGGGGAGGGAGGGAGGGGAAGATAGAGCACAGGGTAGGGAATAGACACAGGAAAGCTTGGATACTCTGGTGGGGGCTATATACAAGAAAGGGGAGGGAAGTGGAAGAACAAGGCAGATGGGAGAACAGTTAGGCAGGTTCACATAGGCTAAGTGGGACAGAGGTAAATGATGATGTATGCACAACCTTGGAACAACAGGGCTTCCGGATACAGGGATTGAGACATGG